GATAAAATGAAGAGAAAACAGGAGGGATAAAAGGGGAGGTATAAATTTTAGGGATAAAATGAAGAGGTAAGACACTAGATTCTTTATTGCTATGACAGATTAACTAAAGTATTATGAAAGAATCAAGTTGTCCTTGACTTCTTTTGAGTAGTATAGTTGTTTTGTAGCATAGAAATCATGTTGAGCTGTGCTGTTGTTTTATGAGAACAATATTTACCATTGCAGCAGATAAAAAAAATCCAGATTTGTAAATCCATCAATTACAAAGAAGAAATTCAGTGTAGATTACATCCAGACCAGTCCTGATTCCTGCTTTTATAATATGTGAAACCAATATTCCTCGTCGCAGATAATAAAAAGTATATATTTGCAAATGTGTCAATGACAAAGAACAAATACAGATTAATAACCTAAGACTCCTATGAGGATAGGATATCCTATTGAAATGTGCAAAAAGCTATTGGTGTGGCCTTACGGCAAGATACTATCTGTAGGACAACTTCTTCCAGGGGGTTGCTGATTTGACATGTTGACAATGACTCAAGGATGTCGCTGAAGTTGTAAACATTCAATGCTGGTCTTCATGTCGGACCAGATAGGAGGGAGACATAATAAAATACACCGGGGACGAGTTGCACGTTCAAGTTGACGGAACTCGTCTACAAAGGTCACTGTAAAAATTGATAACTCTGTCTGGAGGGCCTATTAGTCGGTCGTGAAGAGGCGACAAAATTGTGTCGCGGAAGTTTGAAATAATGGCCGGTAGGACATACTCGAAGAATCGTTATTTTTTTAGCATCGGAAGAGGATGGGAAACAGGAAGTGGGGTGAAAGTGTCAGGCCGTGATTGGCGTGAAGATACCTAGACTTGACATGAAGAGGTGTGGACTTGATGCTATTGTTAGGAGGTGCTAGTTGGCTGGGTTTGAATGTTGCATAGTAGGAAGACAGATCTTAGTGCGTCCTTGTGTACACTTTAAGAAGAGGACTTGGGTAGAAGTTGACGATCAAGCATCACATGAAACATAGTTTCTGTTTTTTGTCAACTGTGTTTTGTGACTGAAAGGTAGGATAAGGGTCCTATTTGGCACATTGGAAATATAATTTTTTAGAATTGTGAAAACTTTGAGTGAGTGAGTGAGTTGAGTTTAATGCTTTTAACACAATTCCAGTTAAATCACGGCATGTCAGCTTAATGTGGGAGGAAAGCCCGAAGTGATGCAGGTCTATGTCATTTACCCCTTCGATGAAACCCGCGAGCAATGGTATGGTGCTGACAAACCTAGAAACATAATCGGGGTGAACCAGGATTCGAACCCACAATCATAGGTTTCTGGCGCGCCCAAGGGACGCAACTCTGCACAGCGAATTGCCACGCCTTAGACGACCGGGCCACCCGTGCCCCCACCCACTAAATGAATGCGCTCGTCACGCCAAAGAACCAGGTTCTTTTCCCGACATGGGTACAATGTGGGAAGCACATTTGTGGTGTCCCCCTCTGTGATATTGCTGGAATATTGCTAAAAGCAGCGTAAAACCATTCTCACTCACTCACTATGATAAAGGACCAGTCCTGATACGTTTTGAAATACAGGATTTGTAATAAAAAAGGGACTTATTGGAGGTCATTGATGTGTAGCAGTAAGACAAAGAAGAAAGTAGTACAGCAGGTCTTGTAGGCCTGGAAGCAAGCAATATCTCCGTGACCATGTCACGAGTCAACACAGAAGAGGCCCTCCATTCCTTCTGTGCATGCTGCTTACTGTTCTACTGTACGACTGATGCCGGCTCCAGGCCTAATTCCAGTAAGCACTGTATCTGTAGCGGGCTGAGATTGCCATTTCCCTCCCAGTGTAAACACATGAGGAAATCCATAGTGTGATGACATTCAGTCAATGAAGGAAGCCCCGTGGCAAGAAGTTAATATGTATTCGAGGGTTTAGATCAGTCAAATGCCAGATCTGGAAAACAAGACTCCTACCGAAAGACGACAGATTTTTATTCCGAGCTAACGAACATAACACAGATCCTTGAGATCCTGTATGTCGTACAGTGTTTCGGCATCATGGTGGAAGGTTAATCTCAGGATTTAATGAAGTGTCTGTTACCCAGGAAGGAGATATTTTAGCAATTTGTTTCTGACTTTATGGAGATTTGCGATCAGTGCAATGACTTACCGGGTACTACAGTGAAATTTCTAGAAGGTGTTAGTGTCTTGATTTACCGTATTTGACGTAATAAGCGCCCCGCTCTAATAAGCGCCCACGGCGATATTTGTTAATATATTGGCTAGTGAACAATCCTAATTAGCACCCCTTCCGATTAATAAATGTACACAAGGCTGTTTATCCGTGCATAATATGTTTGTTATATGCACCCTTAATTGTGGGCAATAAATTCTGGAAAAATATATCTGTCATTTATAAACATTTCAGCCTAAACCACGAAATTTACGCTCTTTGAACTCTGTTGTTTTTCACCAAAATAATATTCTAATAAGAGCCCCCTATTTCTAATATTGAGAGTGCCCTGGGCGCTTATTATGTCGAATACGGTATGTCGCAAGAAGGAAATCCTAAACACTGGTCATTGTATGTACAATTTTAAAAAGAGCTAAATAAGTTTCCAACTGAAGCGTTCTTGACTAACATTTACAAGCCGATGTAGATTGTACGCAGACATATTGGTTGAATCAGATGGACTCATTTCACAAACCAATGATTATCTTTGGACTTCGGTCCCATGTTAAAGGGACAGGTCATCTACCCTTTTGATGCTTTGTTTGTAAACACTAGCCAGTAACAAGGTAATTGGCTCTGCTCGCCTTATTCCGTTTCTCCTCCAGTAACCACACTATTGTTGGCTTTTCAGGTGACCAGACCTTTCTCTTGTTTGTAAACAAACATACTTATTCTGAAAAAAGAACAGACAGGCCTCATGCAAGTTAAGGATGTCATCTGTGGGATGACTCCACGCCCTGCTACATACTCCCCCGCATTGTAGGGTACTGAGGCTTATTTTGCTCAATTTTGATATGAACATGCTCAGCCCCACGCTGGGCGCCAATGTAGCGGCCCTAAAATTTCCGATTCCTGTGATGGGATTCGAACCACAGACCTTCTGATCAGAGGTTGGACGCCTTGTCCACATGACCAAAGAGGTAAACCCTGTCAGCAAGCTGAAAAGGTAAGGATGTCATCTGTGGGACGACTCCACGCCTTGCTACATACTCCCCCGTCGACAGAAGGCACGTTCCGGGCTGCATAGTAGGGTACTGAGGCTTATTTTGCTCAAATTTGATATGAATGTGCTCAGCCCCACGTTGGGCGCCAATGTAGCAGCCATAAAATGTCTGAGTCCCGTGATGGGATTCGAACCACAGACCTTCTGACCAGAGGTCGGACGCCTTGTCCACATGACCAAAGAGGTTAACCCCGTCAGCAAGCTGACAAGGTAAGGATGTCATCTGTGGGATGACTCCACGCCCTGCTACACAAGCATTTCTGTGCACTATACATATTGTTTTGCGTTATTATATAGATACACTACTACAGCTGTGACAGTGAGGTGCATGACAATATAGCTTTACACATCAAAGTGACCGTATCACTAGCTCTCTGTCGGGCTTCGATTACAGGATGCTGAGGATAAACTGTATTTGACGTAATAAGCGCCCCGCTCTTATAAGCGCCCACAACGATACTTGCTAATATACTGGCTAGTGAACAATCCCAATTAGCACCCCTTCCAATTGATCAATGTACACACGACTTATTTATTTGTGTATAATACGCACTCGTGTGTTATATGCACCCTTAATTATAGGTAATTAAATTCTGGAAAAAATGTGTGTCGTATATAGACATTTCAGTCTGTCAGCATAAACCATGAACTTTACAATCTTTCATCTCTGTTTTTTCACCAAAATAATATTCTATTAAGAGCCCACTATTTCCAATTTTGAGATCACCCTAGGCGCTTATTACGTTGAATATGGTACGCATTGGCAATAGTTTTTCATGTTTTAGGATATTTCCTCAATGAAATGATTTATGGTTAATGTTTATCTAAATGTGTAGAATCATCAAAATGAAACAGATGAAAATCACAGGAAGTGTCTGTGTTAGATGTGACGATGTGATGGAGGTACACTGTTGGCCGCAAGGAACCCTGGGTAGGAAGGCGATTGGCTTCATACAATCAAGGCATATATATATTGTAATCTAGACTTTGATAAACACTGGCTTCTAATCTAATCATACTGGCAATTTGTATTGTCATCCGTATGAAAAACACATATCATCCAATTTGCATATATTAAAAAGCAAGACTGAAGTCAGTTTACTCTTCGCAGTGCTTACATTGTTGGCTTCAATGTGCGGAGCTCTATTGTTTTGATTTGGGAACTGAATCGGGCATGTGACATCACACTTGGAAATTATTTCATTTGATTTAAAAACACACAGAGCTGACTACATACTGTCCCTTTAAGTATGACCTTTTAATGAGTAAATTCTGCTTTCAATTAGCAGTATACAAACAAGACATGTTTATATAGGATGGCTGATAAATATGTTGATGTACGGGAAATTCATTACTGCCTGTGTGTGGTGTCTATACCTGCCTCCAGCAGGCACAAGGTTGATGATCCATAAACCACGGTTGGGATGCAGAACATCTCCCTGATGAAAGTAAACATGGCCCCCGGTGTAATCTCTTCCACTGCTCCATCGTATGTACCTAGCAGATCACCATTGTTGTCGTAGAGTTAAAACCACGGACATGAATCGGCCTCCCAAGGTGCTAATCTTCTTTATTATTCAAGTGGTTACAATTTTTTATACATTTTTTTCAGTGCTTTGTGAAGCGTGTTAAAGACAACACAATGTGAGATTGAGTAAAGGTACCAAATGAGTTAATTTTTTTAATTTTCCAGGAGGTTAATCACTTCATATTCCAATATTTCCAGTTCTGTACCATGACATGAGGTGCCGTGTTCCTCAGGTCCTTTTACTGACCTTGTTCCTTTCACTGACGTTGTTCCTTTCATTGACCTTGATCCTTTCGTTGACCTTGTTCCTTTCACTGACCTTGTTCCTTTCACTGACCTTGTTCCTTTCTTTGACCTTATTCCTTTCTATGACCTTGTTCCTTTCACTGACCTTGTTCCTTTCTTTGACCTTGTTCCTTTCTATGACCTTGTTCCTTTTACTGAACTTGTTCCTTTCTTTGACCTTGTTGCTTTCTTTGACCTTGTTCCTTTTACTGACCTTGTTCCTTTCACTGACCTTGTTCCTTATTTTGACCTTGTTCCTTTCACTGAACTTGTTCCTTACTTTGACCTTGTTCCTTTCTTTGACCTTGTTTCTTTCATTGACCTTGTTCTTTTCTTTGACCTTGTTCCTTTCATTGACCTTGTTCCTTTCATTGACCTTGTTCCTTTCTTTGACCTTGTTCTTTTCTTTGACCTTGTTCCTTTCACTGACCTTGTTACTTTCTTTGACCATGTTCCTTTCTTTGACCTTGTTCCTTTCATTGACCTTTGACCTTGTTCATTTCATTGACCTTGTTCCCTTAATTGACCTTGTTCTTTTCTTGACCTTGTTCTTTTCATTGACCTTGTTCCTTTCAATGATCTTGTTCCTTTCACTGACCTTGTTCCTTTCATTGACCTTGTTCCTTTCCTTGACCTTTGACCTTGTTCATTATCATTGACCTTGTTCCTTTCATTGAAAAGTATCCTGTCTCCACTGTGGAAAAGAAACTTCAAGAATGAAAAAACTCATATGAGTACGGCTCGGACTGTAGTCATGTTAGTTAGTGAGTGACAGTGTGTGAGTAGCGTGAGTGAGTGAGTGGGGGGAGTGAGTGAGTGAGTGAGAATGAGCACATGCATGTGAGCAAACTTGTCTCCACTGTGGAGAACAAACTTCAAAAATAAAAAACTCCCATGACTAAGGTTTGTACTTGTAGTGAGTGAGTGAGTGAGTTATAATTAGTGAGTGAGTGAAGGGGTGAGTGAGAATGAGTACATGCGTTTGAGTGAGGTGAGGTGCGTATGTGGGCGTGCACACGTGTGATTATGAGTGAGTGACCGTGTGTGAGTGAATGAGTGAGTGAGTGAATGAGTGAGTGACCATGTGTGAGTGACCATGTGTGAGTGAGTTGGGTGAGTAAGTGAGCATGAGCACATGCATGTGAGTGGGGTCATGAGTAAGTGAGTGAGTATGTACTCATGCATGTGTTTGAGTGAGTGATGAATCATGAGTACATGCGCGTCAGAGTTTCTCAGTGGCACATGATCCGTCTTTCAGCTACTCACTGCATATATTAAACTGATTACAAAGCATTCCAAAGAATGACTGACAATCTCTTCCATCAACTGATGTTTTACAGGAAAGAACAAGGAGCTATTTTTGGAAAATTCGTTTAGAAGGTTTCTTGTAAGCCGTCGTCTTATTTGTTGTCTGTGCACACCCCTAACAAACTGACTATACTATTTTAAGTATGGCACAGATTATCGCTTGAAAATGGTTAGTGTAAAGGTGTGTGAACTGCATTCAGTTATCATTATTGGTGTCTTGTCTCCCTGTGTGCATTTTTGGACAATATAGGTCCCCAGTACCCTGTGCCTGTCTCCCCTGTGTGTATTCCAGGACAATATAGGTTCCCAGTTTCCTGTTCCCTGTTCCCTTTGTGTATTCCAGGACAATATAAGTTCCAAGAACCCTGTGTGTATTCCAGGACAATATAGGTTCCCAGTTCCCTGTTCCCTGTTCCCTATTCCCTGTGTGTATTCCAGGACAATATAGGTTCCCAGTTCCCTGTTCCCTGTGTGAATTCAAGACAATATAGGTCCCCAGTACCCTGAGTGAATTCCCGGACAATATAGGTCCCCAGTACCCTGTGTGTATTCCAGGACAATATAGGTCCCCAGTACCCTGTGTGTATTCCAGGACAATATAGGTTCCCAGTTCCCTGTATGTATTCCAGGACAATATAGGTCCCCAGTACCCTGAGTGTATTTCAGGACAATATAGGTCCCCAGTACCCTGTGTGTATTCCAGGACAATATAGGTCCCCAGTACCTTGAGTGTATTCCGGGACAATATAGGTTCCCAGTTCCCTGTGTGTATTCCAGGACAATAAAAGTCCCCAGTACCCTGAGTGTATTCCAGGACAATATAGGTCCCCAGTTCCCTGAGTGTATTTCAGGACAATATAGGTTCCCAGTTCCCTGAGTGTATTCCGGGACAATATAGGTTCCCAGTACCCTGTGTGTATTCTAGGACAATGTAGGTTCCGAGTACCATGAGTGTATTCCAGGACAATATAGGTTCCCAGTTCCCTGTGTGTATTCCAGGACAATAAAAGTCCCCAGTTCCCTATGTGTATTCCAGGACAATATAGGTCCCCAGTTCCCTGAGTGTATTTCAGGACAATATAGGTCCCCAGTTCCCTGAGTGTATTTCAGGACAATATAGGTTCCCAGTTCCCTGTGTGTATTCCAGGACAATATAGGTCCCAAGTTCCCTGAGTGTATTTCAGGACAATATAGGTCCCCAGTTCCCTGAGTGCATTTCAGGACAATATAGGTTCCAAGTTCCCTGTGTGTATTCCAGGACAATAAAAGTCCCCAGCTCCCTATGTGTATTCCAGGACAATATAGGTCCCCAGTTCCCTTTGTGTATTCCAGGACAATATAGGTCCCCAGTACCCTGAGTGTATTTCAGGACAATATAGGTCCCCAGTACCCTGTGTGTATTCCCTGACAATATAGGTCGCCAGTACCCTGTGTGTATTCCACGACAATATAGGTCCCCAGTACCCTGTATGTATTCCAGGACAATATAGGTCCCCAGTTCCCTGTATGTATTCCAGGACAATATAGGTCCCCAGTACCCTGAGTTTATTCCAGGACAATATAGGTCCCCAGTTCCCTGTATGTATTCCAGGACAATATAGGTCCCCAGTTCCCTGTATGTATTCCAGGACAATATAGGTCCCCAGTTCCCTGTATGTATTCCAGGACAATATAGGTCCCCAGTTCCCTGTATGTATTTCAGGACAATATAGGTCCCCAGTTACCTGTGTGTATTCCAGGACAATATAGGTCCCCAGTACCCTGAGTGTATTTCAGGACAATATAGGTCCCAAGTTCCCTGTATGTATTCCCTGACAATATAGGTCCCCAGTTCCCTGTGTGTATTCCAGAACAATATAGGTCCCCAGTACCCTGAGTGTATTTCAGGACAATATAGGTCCCCAGTTCCCTGTATGTATTCCAGGACAATATAGGTCCCCAGTTCCCTGTGTGTATTCCAGGACAATATAGGTTCCCAGTACCCTGAGTGTATTCCAGGACAATATAGGTCCCCAGTACCCTGAGTGTATTCCAGGACAATATAGGTTCCCAGTTTCCTGTTCCCTGTTCCCTTTGAGTATTCCAGGACAATATAGGTTCCCAGCACCCTGTTCCCTGTTCCCTGTGTGTATTCAAGACAATATAGGCTCCCAGCATCCTGTGCCTGCCTCCCCTGTTGGATTACTAATACTAAGCAGCACCACAACTTTCATGACCTCTCTCATAGAATTAGGTTTTTGGCTATAATGTCAAGACGCATCATTGGTGAAGCTATTACCGAATCCTATTGTTGAAACATGAACATCCAAGTTGTATGATATGTCTCCATTCTTCACGTAACAAGGCCTAATTATTTGAAAGAGATGCTGGAGATGACTCTACGGGGGGGGGGGGGGGGGCTCATTGCTGATACAGATGTAGCTCAGCTCCTTGTCACTGGTTTTTATATGGGTAATGTCTTTGACTAGATAACAAGAGTAGATGCAGGGATGATTGATGTCCCGATGTGTTGGATGACCTTCGGAATCACAGGCCCGCCTTCCCACGGGGTTTATGTAAATTCATCAATTCCGCATCACCATTTCTGACATGTTCCAGGCCAAGTTTGACATTCTGAATCCCGTGTGGACGTCAATAAAGTTCCTCGACTCTTCCTTAACATATTATACCGCCAGGAATGTGTAAATACACATATATATATATAATTTGGAAGTTTTCCGCTTGCTTGAATGATAAAAAGCTCAAAGTGCTGAAAACCATCCTTGAAACCAGCGGGGAACTCTAATTGGAATATTTGCCACAGACTAAAAAAATGAAGGAATGGTGCTCATGTTGAAATCTGCCACAGTATCTCCCCAGAGTTTCATGTTTGTCATACTCAACGCAGGATGCGTTTGTTACATATCCAGAAAAATTTTAATGTAGGAATAATTTGTTGCATAAACATAGGACCCACATAAGCAATACTTTACCCTGAATGGAAGACATTGTTCATGGGGAACTAAGGAAATGATATCTGCTACTTGTTTTAAAGAATTGGAATGGTTAGGGCTATGGGGACTGGAAATGTTTTTTAACATATCATTTGGTCCAGAAAACACTGTAAAAATAATAATTTTTCCTCAGGTTTTATTAAAACATAAATAATTCTGTGCCTTAAAGTGCTCAGTTAAAAACTAGAATAAGAGGTATCTATAATTCGATTAGACTACCTCAAATTTCAAAACACAGGAGGTTTATCTCCTTATTAAGTGGTTGGCCCATTAAGATATTGCACAAAACATTGCAGTCCAATTTTACCTTGTCAGCTTGCTGACGGGGTTAACCTCTTTGGTCATGTGGACAAGGCGTCCGACCGCGGATCAGAAGGTCCGTGGTTCAAATCCCATCACGGGACTCGGAAATTTTATGGCCGCTACACACCAATAAACAAGTATTCTGCTCAACATTTAGTAGGGACATTTGTTCCATGAAACACCAAACATAATTAACCCTACTGCTCTCAGAATCTCTATCTTTGAGCTTCTTCTATGTCCTTTACCTTCTGTGCCTTGTAATAGTCCAGAAAACTTCAGGTGAGCTACAGTCTTAGGTCTCTGTTTTTTTCATGTGTTTTTGTCAAGGATCCCATAAACATCAAGAATTACATATATATGTAAAGTAAAAATACATGTTCTACTTTAGTGGTATAGATTATTTTATGATGTTTACAAAAAGCCACTTTTTACGTCAGGTTTTATGCAAAGAAATATGGCAAAGATGAGGTTTAGCTTGGTCATGTTTTCTGGTATTATTGTTCTACAAATATGCCATAAAATGCGGGCTTCAAGCAGTATTGATGGATGAGAAATGTGTCAATGTTTGGATCAACATAAAGGTTGTTTGGGGTCGGACATTAATCCGAACTGTGTCCTCTTCCCTTCCATGAAGCTTCTAAAATCAGCTCTTTACTCTTGTTTTGAAAAATGAAATACATTCATGATGACATTACCAGATCTGTCTTGTCCTTGGGGCTCCATAATTGTTAGGAACGCCTGGACTTGTTTGCTTCAGGTTACCATAACATCGACACTTTTCACATTACGGGAAAGTTTGTGACAGCACCCGTCCAGGGTGATTTCCCCGAAGTATTTGATATAGTAT